CATCTAGAGATCCCCATTCCCTGAAAGAGGAACCAGGAGCAGAGCAACACGTAGAGGCTGCTGCCAGCAGCTCCTCCTGTCACCAAACTGAGACGCTACTTGGGCTTTGTTATAGTTGGGATGTGAAAGAGTGAAGGGACTAGATAGCCGAACCTCTGCAGCCTGCCCCATTACACACACCCACACACACACACATACACACACCCTTTTCTGTCCCAGCGCAGCACATTCCAACACACTGACACCAGAACCAGGAAAGCTTTTCACAGCAGGAGCGGAGGCCCCCACTGGCAGGCAGAGAGAGTGCTGGTGCCCAACATTCAGGCTGTTGGACCGGGCTTACACTGGGCTTATTTAGCATTGTTTTCAGCAGCAAATTCACAATTGCGATGTTTCCATTAAATGAGAAACGCAATGAAAATCACACATGAATAAGTTTGTTCATGTGATAATTTATTTAAAAAACATCATCCTCCAACTACTTTCTGTTGTCTTTTTCTTTATGGTTTCTGCCAGTGGAAACATCCGGTTGCTCATTTTTTACTGTCACTTCTCTTGTAAACTCTGGAGAGACATTCAGAGCTGGTTGTCATTTAGAATTGAGGACATCCAAGAGATTATATATTATATGTTGATGACCTCGAGAGCCAAATATCTGATGTGATAAATATTGCTTTCTTGCTTGCTAAATATCATCTGCTGCTGTAAGAAGAGAGGTTCTACCCCTTGTTCTGATTTTTTAACAAATTTAAACTTTGTTTCTCCTCACTGAAATATTGTAAATCTCTATATGGAACAAAAAACAAACAAACAAACAAGCAAAAAAAACACCAGTATGTGATGAGCTTGTCTTTTACAATCTTAAACTCGTGTTTGTGTCTTTTTCTATGTTTCACTGTTCCTTGCCCCGCAGCAAGAAAAGTTTTTTAATGTCTTATCGCGTGAACAAACTTATTCACGTGTGATTTTAATTTTATTTCTTATTTAATGGAAACACTATAATGGTGAAAATGTTTTTTGTTTTTTTTGACAGTAGCAGAAGATTGACAAAGTTTTGCTCACATTTCGAATTTAAAGCTGTAGCTGTGCACTGTAAAGAAAAATGCTGACTCAGCTTGACTACTTTCCTTGTTGCGTTGACTCAGTTTGTTATATAACTTTAACTAAACACTTAAGAGTTATTGCTATGTTTATCAAGGTAACGGTCTTTAGTTAACTGTATTAGATTAAAAGTGCTTAGTTAAGAGATTTTTTTTTTTTAAAGTTTCCCCAATTTATTTAAGTTTTTACATTATTACTTCAAGTTGAATTTTTGTATATAATTTTTTTAACTACTGTTAAGTTTTTTTAGCTGTTTTTTTCCTCCTGTTTTCTCACCGCAGACACACCTGGTTCATCCTGCATCACCACTTCTCATTTGTGGGGGAAGAAAAACAACACAAAAACTGCTGATTTTTAATAAAGGAGGCATCAACGTTTCACCACTGCTGCTGCTGCTGCTTTGTGTGTGAGAACTGCTGCATCCTCTGCACTACATGTGCAGCTTTAACAATGTGGTATGTATGATCCTGTATGATCTTCCCATTGTGTAAAGACAGAACACACCACAGTGTGTGCAGCCTCCAGCTGGACAGAAACAAGGTTAGAGAAACCCGGCGGACTCCCAGGATGAGCAAAAATAGTTCCTCTGCTCTCCAGGAGCGGAAACTGGGCCTTGGCTCTGTTCTAAATTTAGCTCCAGCGTTCCCTGTTTTCTGAGGGCCGCAGCTCCTGCTCCCAAATTAGACAGGAATAGACCACTAATGACAGGAAGTGGGCCCACAGAAAGGCTGAGACACTCCTGGTCAATATGTTTATGAAGTCTTAAAATAAATCTTCATTTCAGTAGCATCATCTCATTTGGAGCATTTTGATTAAACAAATTAATCGACTGAGTAACTTTACAAACGCAGGGTAGAGTTTCTGAGAGTTTCTTATGTTAATGACTTTGCGTTTTGCTGGAGGAATAGAAATATGACGACACACAGAGGCTCATGACTTTCAGTCACCAGGCTGGAGGAGGAGCCATGTTATGTTGCCAACACACACAAGTGAGCGGTTAAAGAGTGGCATCTGAAGGTCACCAAAAGCAACTTCAGACAACATTTATACGGCAAAATGTGGTCTGATCAGGTGTCAAACAACAGATGAATTTGTGGACAAGCTCCTCATGCCCAGTGTTAATTATGGGGGATGATGTGTGGTGCTGTGGGCCAGATTTGAAGTAAAAAAAACAATAGAGTGAACTGAACAATGATGATGCAAAATATGCAGCCAAAAAAAAAAAAAAAAAACACAAACATTTTTCCATGACCAAAATCAGTCTCTACCAAATCCTGCAGGAAAGCTGTGAGTTCAGCTTTAAGTTAAAACTAAATTTGTTAAAACCATCATCCTGACAGTTTCAGACAGATAATATGTGGAGAGACGGGGCTCCTTCCTGTGCTACTATATCTGTCTGAAGGGATGCTGTGCTCCCAGTCAGAAAGAACCAATCAGAGCCAGGAGGAGGGGCTTAACGCTGTCAATCCGCTCATGAACGCACTGTAGAGAAACAACTTACATTCCAGGAAAACTGTTTACCCTCCATCATTGGTGGCCATGCTAACTAGCCTTAGCATTCATAATGGGCTCTGTTATGGTGAACCAGCTGCAGTGTAACAGAGGGCAAGGGGGAGGGTCTGAGCAGTGTGTACAAGAGAATGACTGACAGCAGTAAGATCCTCCTTTGGACTCTGATTGGTTGTTTCTGGTAGAGGGGAATAAGACAGAGAGAACAAGAACAATTAAAAAGTCAAGTAAAGTCAACAAAATTATTAATTTGTGTTTAAATTTAAGTGTGTTTAATTTATTTTTTTACATTAATTTAAACAGATGTTTAAATTATTAATTAATAATTATTGAATGTAATAATTAAAGTCAATTAAAGTCTCCGACATGTTCTCTCATTATTGTGGAATTAGAAAACAAATACTTTTCATAATTCCAACAAAGCAAGAAAAGTTTAGTCTGATTTAACATCAGATGGCAAAAACAGGTGTGTCTTTTTATTTGGTGTATGTAAACTTGTGGTTGAGTAGGGTTTCTAAAGTACTGACAGCAGGGGTTGAATTTGTTAGAAACATTTGGACAAATCCAGGATGTTTTCCCCACTGCTGAATAAATGGAATCATATTAAAGGTTGAAACCTTTCAGTAAGAGAGATTATGCTGCTGCAATAAAAGCTGACACCTTTACCCGAGTGCCAACAAGCCGGCCTGCGTCATAAGATACCCCAGTCAGCTTCCTGTATTGTTAGTCCACTAAGAGGTGACGCGTCATGCTGTAGGAATGTTTCACTTTATTGAGCTTCATCAAATCTCCATACCAATGTTGGTAAATTAATAAACACATTTATCCAACAGAAAAAAAAGCATTTGTTCACAGTTAAATTAACAAGAGTTACAGATTGAATGAAAACATGGCAACACATGACAGTTGTGTTCTTAAGCTTTTGTTCCCAAATCATCGACAGCGACACCCTGAGCCGATTCACTGCAAGTAAGAAAAACAGACGTAGAGAGATGACAGTGGATCAGCATCAGGCGTCCGTATGGGGAAGGCAACAAGAAAAGAAGAGAGATTTTCTTTTTTTAATCTTTTTAAAGGAAATACATGTAAAATGATTTCTCATAAGAGGCAAACATGAGTAAGGCTGATTTCATTCCTACTATTTAAATTTACCACAGCAGATAAGGCATGTTGAACTCCCTCCACCTCCAAAGCCCCCCACTTCCACCTATAACACCAATAACAGATCTGGTAGAATAAATGTAAAAGCTTTTATCACCTCCTCCTACAACCATTAAAAGTTCTGACGTTACTGGAGTTATTTGCTGTGAGTTGATAGGTGGAGCTCACAGTAGTTTGCAACATTTGGTGAGTTTTGTCCAGCCAGAGTGTGCGTGTGTGTGTGTGTGTGTGTGTGTGTGTGTGTGTGTGTGTGCACGTAGATACAGAGATGTACCAACAGATGAGTCAGATTTCCAATTTGACTGGAAACCAGAAAGTCTGGTGGACACGGCAAACATCTTTGTTAAATATATTCCACAAAACATCGTTGCTTCTTCCCAGTCGGCCATGTTTGTTTACACTGAACTCACATTTGGTCTCGAGATTTTGGGAAATTTTCTATCCATCATCTGAGTGTTGGTGAGTGGAATCTGTGTGTGTGTGTGTGTGTGTTTAATTTATTTTTTTTTTCAATTATAGTTTTTAAAAAGGGTTGGAATCTGTTAAATTTGGAAGCTGCAAATCAGACGTTTTAATTGGAAACTGGCATCTCGACTCATAAAAGAGGTTATGAATGCAGTAGTTCAGGTTTCAACACAAAGGGTTAGTTCACATTGGAGGTAGAATCTAACAGTAAAAAAAATCCCCATTGATCCAGAGTTTAAAAAAAAGTTAATTTGAGATTAATTCAGTGTTTTCATAGGCAGGAGACTTTCCCCAAAAACTTGGCAAGATGAATGGATTTAAAATGTATTCAACATGGAGAATATATCTGCCTCAATTTTTTTATTAAATAATTTAAAGACGATGTGAAATTTATCAAACTAACAAAAATGCTAACAGGATATTCAATGGAATGTGGATTGTCATTGGTCAGTCGGAGATGTGACCGGCTGTTTGATACTACTGTTTTCATGTACTTTGATTTAATACTACCTGCTTCTCTCTCAAAAAATACATCATGGCAACATTTGGAAATTTTGATCCCAAGAATTTAGTGGCACAAGCTGCACTTACATGTGGAAAACTGCTGCAGTGGTTCTCAATCATGTGAAGAAAAGGCTTTTATAGAAAAGGCCAGTTGGGAGACTTTGGTTGTTGGCGTCCATTTAAGGCAAACCAGAGAGGCAAATAACAGTCACTGCCCACTGGAGACACAATTGGATAAACACTGACAGAGCAAACCCACCACTGAATGCTGCTTTTACTGGTAGAAGAATTAGAAAATAAGTTTGAGACTTTAAGATGCAATCAAACCCACGCAGACAAAGATTTCTGAAGCAGATGAAGTTCACCCTGAACAGTGGCAGGTCAGTAGTTTTGGTCAAAATCCCCCAAACGGGAGCCGCCGCACGGCATTCTGCACCGACTGTTAAAACACCTAATGATATGATCGCAGATTCTCTCTCACCCCTCCCAACATGAACAATACAGCAACGTTGATGAGCAGAAGAAAAAAAGACAAGGCTAGAGGGCTTCCACTACAATAAAGTGCAGGGCTTCTTCTCCTTGAAGGGGTTTTCTGAAGCAGGGATTCCCGCGATGAGGGGGTCGGATTTCTGATGGTGGCAGCAGTACTTCACAATGTCCGCGGAGGCTTGGGAGATCTGGAGAAAAAAAAAAAAAAAACAGGAAACAAAAACACCATGCTTTTAGTTCTCACATTTGGAGATGTTCAGCGCACCAAGGCATCTGGATCGCCGGTTTGGAAAAACCACGATCCAAACCAACATGTGTGTGTGAAAAGTAAAGTAAGCAAAGGCGACACACCAGATCACTCAGAGAGCCTTTCAGTCAACTCATCCCAATAAATCTCCTGTTTATTATATAAAATCAACTCGTTTGAGCTTTACAGCATGTTATAATCTTATTCCCTCATCAAAAAAAAAAAAAAAAAAAACGGGGAGGGTTACCTTGATTCTTTCATGAATGTTTGAGAAATCTTTTAATTTCCATGGCAACTGCAGTGAAAAACACCTGGTTGGATATAGCTTTGCCTTCAAGGTGCTGCCCCTCCTCACAGCTGCAGTTTCCAAGCCTCCCTCCCACAGAGCAGTCCTCCCTGTGACTTCCCCACTCAGCTCCTTCAGACTAGCCAGCAGCAGTTAGCAAACTCCAGGTGGTTCTGCAGATTTGTTGAGTCCATTATAGGAGCTACTTCTCAGTGCAACTCTGGTTAAAACATTGTTAAAGGGTTCATAGATGAGCCATGTTGTGATGACATCCTGAAGGTGGAGTTTCAGAAAGAGCAAGAGTTTTTAAAGTGACAGGGGCTTGATTTCAAGGTGTTAAATTATGGAGCCATATTTGGTACATATCACATTTTTATAACAACTGAAGGTAACATAGTCACTGAGCTGTGCTGTAAAATGGCACCATGTGCCCGGAAAATTTATAACATTGCCCCTTTAAGCTCCCATTCCATACCAGCAGCTTTCAGCTGACCAGGAGTTGGAAAGAACACATGCAGATGATCTGATTGAGTCAGAGCCTTCCTTCACTTCATCGGAGCATTGTTCCTAAAAGCCTTGGTCTCTTATAAAACTGCAAAACAGAAGTGGGTTCCTCCTCCTCTTATTTGGCCTTTACCCAGAGACCCTGCCTCTGTTCGCAGTGTGGCATGTGGACTCTGTTGTTCTGAGGTTTTTTACGCAATCCCTTACCTCATTGTCTTTTGTTTCTGCATAACATCCTGTCTGCTTTTGAACAGTTGTCTAACTATGAAACTTCCTGACAGCATTTCACACAGTTTTGTAATTTAAATTTGGAAAATAAATATCAAAGTGCCAAGAACTATATATGTCCAGAAAATTATTTTCTCACCATCATTTCTTTCTGACATGTAAGTAAAATGTGATTAAAATTAAAACATACAAATAAATCTAAACAGTGCGATGTGAGCAGATAATGGCTGCTAATTTGCGGTGGGTATAGGTTTCCATGGATATAATATTATTTGTTAAACATCTGCATCTTGACTGAGTGACTCAGACATGAGAAATGTTAAGGTGAAATAGCAGTCCAGTGTTCTGCAGTGTTTAAAGCCAGTCCTTCTGATGTTTTATCAGACACCAATTCAAAGACATGTGGTCAAGACCTCCTACATAATAACACTGACTAACCCCTACAGGGTTGCAATCTTCACCACCAACTAAAGGGATAGTTCAAATACTAGAGTAGTTTGTTTATATGTCTTGATAAAAAGTATTTATTTATGATCACTGTTAAATATTTTGTGGACCCAGATATTGTGTTTATTTGGTTTTTGAAATCTTCACGTTTACAATGTTGATTCTTCTATCTGACTTCTGTGATTCTGTCTGACCTGCTGGAAACTTTTGGGACAAATCCAGATTGATGGTGACCCATTATTTCCCTGTCTGGTCTCAGAGTTAGTCCCAGCTTGTTGGCTTTCTGTTTCTCCGACTGTTTTTTGAGAACTGATCACAGGTTAGGTTCCCAGTTATGGCACAGTACCAAAATTAAGACTGTAGGGCATCCAGTGGTGGCTACTCCATTGTCACAGGAAGCTATATGAATTCTGAAACTAGCTACTGATCTGACTAATGATGGGCTTTCACCGCAAACTGAGCAGTCGGCAATGGCAAATGAAAAGGAGAGTATTCACTAGCGTTAGCCTTGGAGAGACTGGTGACTAGAATGCTTAGTCCAGTCACCCACTGAAATGGGGTAACCTCTACTGTCCATTAGCATGGATAAGCTGGCATTGGAGAGGCAATTAACATGTCTAGGCTGGTCAGCTGCAACTTGTATTATTTTCTTTAAGGAAAACTTCATCAGGAAAATGGTTTGCGTCCATGACCAACTGCTTGGAGACCCGTGGTACTGCACTGATTATTGGATGAAATAGAACATTTGATAAAATTGCACCTAGAACTACAGAGCACCCAAGGGCCAAAACACACTGGATCTGTTTTGGCATTCAATCTGATGAACAGTCGGGTCAGATGATGTACATCACCTGGAACTGGATTCTGGTAAAGTCATCGGGGCCTTGCAGATTGCTCAGAATTCCTTGAGACTGCGTCTCCGAGTGTCCGACCAAGATAGACCTGAGGTATGTTTGGTGTAATGTCATGAGTGCTACGGGATAAAGCAACACACGTCTGCTTTGAGAGAAAATACAAACTAAAATCTTTTTATTAACAAAAAAAAAATAAAAAATTGTGCATTTTGTTCGAGTAGCTTTGTGTTTACTCCCAGATTGGCTTGTGTTTACATTGGTGGGATTTCTAGTACATACTCTCACGTGAATATTCGCTATCAGGAGTCCACTGATGAACTGTTGAGTTGGAGTCTTTAGCGCCAGCTAAACATCTGATTGTAGCATGAAAATGTCTGACTTAAGTGGTGTGTATTGGGGGTAAGGAAGGAAGTGGAAAGGAAAACAGACAGTAGCAAGGTTCAACAGTCTCAGCCAACGAAGAAGTTTGTTCTGTGGTTTACCTTTATCCTCTCAATTTTCGCCTCTAGTCTCAGCTGCTGTACGGTCTGCCGGGCCTGGTTCAGGTTATTGGCACTCGGAGCTTTAGAAGACATCTTGATAAGTACAACACTGTAACAAGAGCAACAAAGCAAAGCTTTATCGTGGCTGTGGAGAATGTGGGATATCTCACATGTCACACCAAGGTGGAATTAAACAAACACAAAGTAAAGAAAATGGTCAGGTCAGAGACAGATCCAGAAGTTTTTCAACCCATTTGGATAATAGCTATATATTTGTTTTATTTCTTCACACAAACCTAGCTGGGATATCAGCTACTCATGAGCTCCTGCAGCAGCTTCTGTAAGTACAGAAACTCTTTGTAGCAGTTCAGACTCCTTCTGATGTCATGCCAGTACATGATGTGGCCACATCATTGAGGTGATGGTTTGTAAACCCCTGTGAGGTCGACTCAACCAATGCCAGGACCCTTATTTTCCATTTCCTGTTTCTGTGAAGCACCAGCACCTACTCCACAAACACAAGCAGCCAAGGTGGAAACCCAGGTCATAAACCTGGATCCAACACACAAGGAGTAAAAATAAACCAGACTGAGCCAGAGTGGATTAAAGCCTTAATAAGGTAAAGATGCGAGGATTGATAGGAGATCCACTTTAGGAGGTTGATGCGTTTATGACAGCAAAGCACGGCAGTCTGGACTGTGGTTCCACTTCCTGTTAATCATTACCAGACCAGCTAGGAACAACAAGCCCGGACACATCACCCCATCCACTTGCTGCTGGATCACAGGTTTTACTCTCTGGGTTATTTCTACTGTTGTTTGGCTGAAGTTTCCCATTAAAAAAAAAAAAACACACACACACACCCACACACACAAACACACACACATTTGTAACTCTCTGCAAATGCCTTCTTGAGACAACACATTTTCCAAACCTACTACTAAGAAGGAAACTGGAAGCTTCAAGTATAGGTTCTCTCCACAGTTTATCTTTAAAAATCATGGGCTGACTAAAATGTTGTATAAAATCTGCTGCAGTTTGCTGGCATGCTGTGGACAGTTTGAGGTTGTTGGACATCAGCCCCTCAGGATGAGACAACAGATGACCTCAGTAAGGACTGGAGGTCATTTTCTACTTAATGCAATACACCAGAATGATGCAATAATAGTAGTGGATATATAGTAAAACTATTAAGCTCTACTCATGCTAATGTTTTAGGAGATATGTATTTTTGTCATCATAATTTACAAGCTATAATAAAGATATTGCTTTGAAAGTTCAACAAATCTTTGATGAATAACAGCCTTTTGCTCATGTTCATTACTGTAGTGTATTCATCATGATTATCACAGCGTATTTTTTGCCCATTTTTATGTATGATATATCAGAGTCTACATCGGTATCAGCCGACGTTAGTCACTTTTTAACATATCGGTATCGGTCCAAGAAGTAAAACTGGGCCGATGTAAGGATTTATGTTTATTTCAATCATGACAGTGATGGAGATGCAGTGCAGGTTAAAAGCAGAATGTAGGTGGTGTGGTCACCTTTACACACTGCTGAAAGTGAAAGGAAATGTATACAACATAGGGAAATATCAGTTATCGGCCATAACAGCAGTAGTTATCGGATAACAATATTGCCGCAATTTTTATATTTGTAGAAAAAGGTTATCCAACCTCAATAATGAAGACCTCAATAACTTCAAACAACAGCAGTAAAGGAATGTGCGGTAAATGTAACAGTTCACAGGGTGACTCGTCCACGTTCACTTCCACATGATCTTGTGCATGATGGATAACTTCCAGGCAGCGCTCAGAAAGCTCTACTTTTTGGGAACAAAGGATGAAGGAAGAATTATGACAAAAAACGGAAATGGGAAGGAAGCAAACTCTCTACTTTGCATCCTCTTCCAATGAATGTATAATCAGTATTTTATTTCCATTCAAGGAAAAGTAATCAGTCTAAAGAAAGCACCTCCCAGAATGACTCAACCAGCTAACTGATACCATCTCAAAGAAACATGAAAGCTTCTTCCAGCAGAACGCAGTGTGAACATCCTAAGGAAAACCTTCCTGACTCAGTCGTAAAGGAGAGGCCCCAAGAGGCAGGATGGAAAAAAAATCCTTTCATCCATTTACAATGAGGGCTGTGTTTATTTATGTCGTGTAAAAGAGAAAAGGGTGTGATTCCCCATTACAGGGGTCACCAACTCCAGTCCTCGAGGGCTACCATCCTGTAACTTTTAGATGCGTCTCTGCTCAAACACCTGGATCAAATAAACTGCTCGTTTCCAGCTTATTGCAGAGAGGAGTGAATGCTGGTGAGGGAATTCAGACATTTTGGAGCAGAGGTGAATCTAAAAGTTGCAGGATGGTAGCCCTTGAGGACTGGAGTTGGTGACCCCTGCTCCATTACATGAGAATCTCTTTATGTAGAAGTTATTGTTCATTACACATAAATGCAGGGATAACAATTCTGCATTTTTTGTGAATTTCTCTTTATTTGATGGTGGAAAATTAAGGTTCACAAGTGGGACTGAAACAGAGAAACCAATAAAGTACAATGAATAAAAAAAAAAATAACAGGGAGTGTAGTGCAGAACTAAGATTGATAAACTGCTGTTGGAATAAGACTGTTTTCACATGCTGTTTTTGTTTGATGCAAACCCCTAAAAACATTAAGGATGTCCAACTTTAGAAAAGGAACTGACAAACAGACTTTAACATTGCGGTTCAAAGTCAATTATTTTGAAGCAAGAGAGCTGTAACAGGCTGAGCATGGGATCATTTATCATGTTTTTGTGGCTTTTGTAGTTATTATCTTCCATGTTTGTCATTTGTTCAGCATATTGTTGCTTCAGTCGTGACTTGCTGTATGTAAAATTAGGCTTTGCTTTTAACATGCATCATGTGCACTTGACCCAGAAGTGGCCGTCAATCAAAAGCAACACTTCATAGGCTAGACAATAAATCCATAATCATGATAGACACGTAATTAATTTCAATAGATAATACGCCTGATAGAATATTCAACAATTTCATTGAACTCCAGTGCAGAACTGCACAGTATTCTGGGTGATGTAGGCAGGGGGAAGGCCTTAACCGCTCAACTTCCCACAGCCAATGTCGATGGCATCCACTTACTCACTCTTTGGTTGCCTAGCTACAATCTGTTGAGTAACTTGTGCAGCAGCAGTTTAAGGTTTTGGCACTGTGTCTCCTAACGGCTTAAAACTACATAATTTTCCAGACGGAAAAACTGTGTAGTTTTAACTAAAACAGGAGAGGTCACCCTGACAGTTGGCAGGATTTCAGATATTTTAAACAAAAAAATAATATCATCCAGTATTTGCATAGTACCCCATAACATGAAAGTCTCATGTCCTGCTATCCCAGCAGTGGCTTCAACAGTTTAACAGTCATCAAAAATACTTAATGAAGACGAAAAAAAATCAAGATACAAAGCTAGCATAATTCAGCATAATGCTAGCTGCTTATTCAAACCTTTGTTGCGCTATTATTCACCACTTTTAATGAATCTAGCTGTTTCACTTCATCTATTTTTCAATGTGCTTCACAGCTGGTAACAAACACGTAGTTCACTGTAAAAACCCATCAACTTCTATGTCAATTAACTGTTTAATGCAAAAAATGTCTGAACGTTTTAAAGTTTTAAAACCTACTGTTTGAATGCATCACAAGAATTTCTGAAGAGCAGGGCAGAAAGTGGCAGAATCCACAGAACTGGCTCCAATTTGACCTGCAATTAAAGGTCTTGAAGAGTAAAAATTCACCATTCGTTTTGTGATATCACAGGCTCAAAATAATTAATTATGATTAATGAAAGGTAATGCAACACTGAACTGACTAAGCTGCTTTAATGCTGACTTTAGCACAGTATCAGACTGGAATCAGACTGCAAGTTGCAGGAATGTGATTTGTGAATCTTAAGAGTCTTACAGAGATCTGCCTCTACAGCTGACAGAAACAACATACAACTATTCTTTTGCACAAGACATCTTTATTGTGTTACACAGCTTCTAGGGAATGTAGAGACGATGCAGAGTTCTGCTAACACAGAATAAAGTTTTGCAGGAAAGGCAAACCAGCCAAAGTGTGCAGAACCTGTGATGTGATGCCAGCTCTTAAGCAGCATGATGTGAGGCTCTAAGAGAGTCAACATTTGAACTCCAGTGTGGCATTAAGTACCACCACATACATACAGTAACCTGTAAAAGGATCAGAAAGAAGACCACCCCTTTTACAACATAACACCACACACACGTACACACATACACACACACACACATATACCAACAGTCAGGCAGGACCACCTACTGCCAACACCACACTGCTCTACTGTACCTTACACACACACACACACACACACACACACACACACACACACACACACACACACACACACACACACACACACACACACGCACGCACGCACACACACCAACACATGTGATTCATTAGCAGTTTTCAAAGAGCTAAGAACAGGGAGCTATTATGAGTCAATTCCATTAATACCGCCACTCAGAGATGAAAACCCGTGTTTTGAGACTCAAACTGTTACTATGCTCAGGCTCAAACCCAAAGAAAACTCTTAAAGGGGTTGCTGACGAACACAAAGACTTCCATTAAGAGGCGAATGAGGAGCCGGTCCCGTCAGCTGTACAGTATGTGTGGTCTCTTCAGTGACTCTCCAAGGCTTTTAGCGCCACTGTGGCTTTTGTCATAAAGTAACACTGTTGGAAGTAAACTACTCTAAGGCGTAGAGCTGTCTGATGCACTTCACTCTTGGCTAACAAGAGGTGAGGAAAGCCATGAGAAGTATTTGGTCTCCAAAGTCTCCCATGTATGGCTGGATTTTCATCTAACTAACACTGTTAGTTTAGGCAAAGAATACAAAAGTCCCACCAAATTTTATACTAACACTGTTATTTGTGCGAGAGGCAGGGCATACACCGGGGTCCATTACAAGTCAACACAGAGGACAGACGAGCATGTTCACACACTCACTCACACACGCACATACACAAATTCACAACTACAGTAAGTGCATTTCACAGTAGCAAATTAAGCTAACTATAGTCATGTA